AGTGGAAGACTGGACGACGTAACCCTTAGTGGTGAACCAGTATAATATACTGTGTCATTATTCTTGTGCTTTTACAGTTTTCTTCCTATTTTCATATATTTTGGTTGTGTTTGGATATTTCTGGAAGAGGAAATTATTCAGGATCTTCAATTTTCCAACCATTTACACATCCATTTATATATAGAGATCTTCGTTCGACGATTATTTATGCGTCAGGAAGAAAAATATCGGGCAAAGTACAAAATTCTTGTATTATACAACAAGTTATCAAAGGTGATTAATAATTTCCACCTCCATCAAACATACACCACACATGAAAATATTTTTCTTTTCCTTTTCAACTCCAAAATGTGCAAATATTTGTCTATTTTGGTTAAATATACATTTTTCTCTAAAATGTTAATATAGCAAATAATTTCGAAATTTTAAAAAATTAAATATTATAATTCAAATCAAACTCGTACTCAAATAGAATACAATTTTCTCGTACTGTATTTGAAAATAATAAAATGATATGACATTTTTTAATCTAAATATTAGATTTATGCTATATTAGTAAAAGAATCTCTTGTTCTCTTAACACATTTATTGATGGAAAGGATTTTTTTATTTCAAAAACAAAAATACATCCATGATAAAATATGAACTTTTTAAATATATACATGTATTAAGAATAAAATTATATATTAACATTGAGTAGTTTATTTTAAATATGAGATTAAATTTAAAATCAACCTTCACTTCTATGCTAATGTTCTTCGTTTATTTTTTTCTACCAAAATAAAGATATTGGAGATTTGTACTCTAAAATGAGTTCTTTTTGAGCCATAATTGTAAGTTGTTACTTTTATATGATTATGTAAAATTGAAATTGAATAGAATGTCGGGTTTTGACAAAATATTGGAATTGAAGTTGTCCCACATTGGAAGAATACAAGTATGGTTTTCATATGCCAGAAGTTGTCCCACCGGAAAAGTACAAAAAGGAGATGTGTTCCAACTACAGTAAAAGGAATTCATGGGCTTGAGTTTTAATCATCGAAATAAAGCCTGGTATACCAACTCTTGTTAACTGAGCAGTATTTGCGATTTTCCCTTGTGGGCCGTGGGAGATTTTTCCCATTATAGAATTTTCTATTTTTAATTATTTCAAAATACTATTATCGCTTTTTTCATTAAACCTCTCTTATATTAAATAAACTAAAGAATACCATATATATATATATAGTATTGATCACATGCTATAATATAAATTTTGAAGCAATTATGGAGATATGGTAAGGAAAAACATATGTTCATAATTAAATAAACCTCTTTTCATTATTTATGTATATAATTTATCTCAAAATAAACAAATACTTACCTGCCCTTACAATAATCTCATGCATTCATTCATTCAATTATCTCCTCCACAATGTTTCTTTCTATGGGTTTTATTTTCTCCGTCAAGCCCATCCTCTGAAAATAGTACTTTGGACCTAAATAATTATAGAATTATGTCATAATATAATTAAAGAGTGAGTTGAATATTGGTTTTTCAATTAAATGTGGAAAAAATAACCTAGCTCACTACTAAATTTTGGGTATGACGAAGTGTCTTGAGAAAAGGTAAACGTTTTATTTTTGGGAAACTAATTGTTAAACGTTCCAATTCATTTTGTAACGTCTCAATTAATCAAACCATTTAAAACATTTCATTGTTTTCCCTTTAAAATTGAAATCCAATTGACAAAAATTTATGAGCATGTTCTTCGATTCCGACGAGTGTACGCTTAAGTTCAAAGTTGAGTTTATCTTGAAAGCAATCGATTTACCTATGATTTAGCACCGTAGTCATGTTGAAATTGCTTTCAAGACAATGGTTCATCCACGTCACAACAATCATTTTCATCTAAATTATTTCTTATATTTCCTAGACTAAATTATATATGCAGGATTGGAAAAATACCAACAAAATTTGAGTCGTAGGAACTTGCCTTCTCTGATTTGAAGAAAGGTCGAAGTTATAATAATCTGCCTGGATCTCGACTATATACCCACCTCAGGGCATACCCATATATTTTATTTTATAATAACTTGATTAATTTGAATCATGATATTAAAAGAATTAATAGTTATATAGATTAATTATTTAAACTAGTATATATATTAAAAGTACTTTTTAAAATATTTTAAAAATATAGTCATACATAAGTTCATTAATATTGATTTCTTATTTGAAGAGGTGAATAAATTTCATGCTGTATGAAGTTAGTCAACAATTGATTAATCTAAAGAAAAATAATTTATTTTTTTAATTATTTTTTTGGTACAAGAAATAATGTATTGTTATATAGTATAATATTGTTGATTTTTTTTTTATAATTTCGAGAAGCTAGCTTACAACCTTTACCAATTATTTAATACTATTATATTATTATTATTCTATTAATAAAATGAAGCAATCAAGTCAACTTAAACTAGAAAGAATATGGGTAATTTCTATCGATTTTTTTTAATCTACGTTGAATTACACTCTATACTTTAAAATTCAATTTCAATTCAAACTTTATACTTCTAAAGTTTCATTATTATTTTCTATATATATATTTTTATTTAAACTTTCCTATTATTAACAAAGAGTAAAATTTCATCCCTCAAATTTCTTGTACTAAAAAAATAAAGATCGAGTAAATAATTCAACTGATCATTTAATTAATTGAGTTGTGTGGTTGAGTCAAGCAAATTTATCAAGTATTATCTATTGAACTCTAAAATAAAGTTAATCCAAACCAATTTTTGGGTTCTTTAGCCAAAAAAAAAAAATAAAAAAAAGTTCATATTACACTTAAAAAGAAAACTATCACATATCATCATATTCGTAAATTATTTTTGTCAATATTGACAAATTCATGTCTATTATAAACCTTTGTTAAGTCTCTTATTATTATTTTTTTAATGTGAGATGACATGTTTGAGCGTTTTGGACTCTGAAACCATATTAATATTGATAGAGTTTCATCTTAAAACTAATTGGTAATGGAAGGAATAGCTCAGATATATTATAAATCTCTGTTAGGTCCCTTATATTTTCAACGTGGGATCCTCGACAATTTTGCCACGTTGACAATGAAAATATTAAAAGCATACCAATAGAATTAAAACTACAATTAAATATAGAACATAGTAGAAATATAATTTAACTAAAATTTAATTTTTTTGTTGTCTTTTAACAAGTTTATTAAACCAAAAGATGGAAGAGATTAGAAAATTGACAATTACTTATTTACCTTAGCCATCTCTCCATTTTCTAGAGTTAAACGAAGCCCAAGAATTGACCATTTAAGAATACTTTGAAACTGAAAATTGGCAACTTTTTTCCATTTTCTTTTGGTTGAAAAACACCTGAAAAACATATATGAGATTTTGAAAATTTCCTCAATAATTGAGTGATGAAAATGTCAAAGAAATGAAAGTGGTTTTATGTTGATTTTTCTATTGCACAACAAGCAAAGTTAGAGAGAGAAAAGCCGCCTGGATTTTTTTTTTTCGCATGAAAAATGTCAAATATATAGTAAAAGAAGAGAAAATGTTTTTTTTATCCAAAGTCAAATGACTACATCTAATTTTAATTATTAATAAAACTTATTCTCACTCTAATTTCATACGTTTGAAATCGATTTAAAATATAATATTACGTTCATCAACTACAAATTTATTTTCAATTTAGTTTTAGGATAGAAACTTCGACATGTGTTATATAACCATAAATGGTAATATGACGTGATATATTATGTATGATTGACGTGTTTAAAAAAAAGACTCAGATATTTATTAACAAGTGATTTTTTTTTTTACTCTTTAAAATTATATTAAAAGTCTTGTTTTTGGACTAATAGTGTTAAATAATATTAATGTTTAATGTTGTTGTTCAAATATGTAAACTAAATATAACCCACCTTATTTTATATATATATATATATATATATATGTTACTAAAGATTTATTTAAACAAAGTTAAAAAACTAAACTACAAACAAATGAGTTTGGGAGGAAAAAAAGATTAAATTATGAATTGAGTCCCTATGCTCGTAACATTATTTTATCTATTTTTATATCTCTTGAACTTTAGATTTAGCTTCTATTTGCATTTTTGGTGTTTTTTTGTTATTAATACTATTAATAAACTGCTAATGTGACATGCAACCCCACGTCACATACGTCAATTCAACTAAAATTTATCTAATGAACATGCCATATAATAGATTGAAAAAAAAAATGACGAGGAGGGTAATGTTTTATTTTCATGTTTTACCCTATTTCCTACCTCTTGACTTGGAAAGAAGTATATAGAGAAAAAAGAAAAAAGAGACGAAGCGTTTCTTCCTCTAGGCGAAGGAGAACGAGAAGAATATTTAAAGAAAGGCAATACTTGCCTACACGCTAGTCGACAGAAGTTCCTACTAATTTTTTTTTGATGTGGTGAATTTTCATTAGTCTATCTCTATTGCATTTAAAAGATAAGTGAAATCCTACTAAAATTTTTTAGGACTAAGAATACAAAGAAATTTATAAGCTCCTATGTATTGATCTGCGTGCACGAAAAATTAGGAGATTTTTGTTTTAGAAAATATTTATCAGTAAGTAGTTATCTTGTCCTCACCCCTATTAAATATTTGACAGAAATACAAAAAGAGAGACGTTTTTACGAGTTGTTTGATCATCACAGTTAAGGAGCCAAATATATATACTTTTCCTTTTAGTTTGAGATGAAAATTTAAACCTTCATCCTGTTCGATAAAATATGTCTTATTTAACCAATTGAGTTATGTTCGGTCAATTTTTTTTTTCTATTTTTTTATTTGTATGGAAAGTCGTTTAATCTCTAGAGAGAGAAAGAGAAGAGAAGCTTTTTTGGTCCATCTTATCTCATTGTTTTCTCATTCAATTCAATCTCTCTCTCTCTCCTCCCCATCCTCCCTCTCTCTCTCCTCATAACCGACTGATCATCTCTCTCTCCTAATTACTTCTCCCTCTCCTCTCTCTCTCTCCTCATATCATTCAGATATGTGAGAAAACAAAATCAAAAGAAAAGTTGGTTGAGAGCTAGCTTCAGCTGGTGGTGTGCCGCCATTAATGGGGTAAAATCCTCAAAAGCACATCAACAACATAAGAAAGAGAAGAGAAGAGAAATCTAGCTCAATTTCAATGGCTTCTCCCAACACCAAAAGCAGCCATCTTCAACAACAACAACAAAACCAACCAGTACTCCATCACCACCAACAACAGCAAATTCTACAAACTCCAAGCTCCTCCTCCTTCAACTTCCAAAATCACCACCTCCACTTCCATGATCATCATCCCAATATTGGCATCAATCTCCCCTCCATCTCCCCAAATTTCATGTACTAATTCATCAACTCTTTTTTTCCGTTTTTCTTTTCTGTTTGTGTGTTGGGGTTTGATTATTTTTTGTGTTGTCTCAGAACCAAAGATGGAGCAGGCGATGATTTGGGAGAATTGGATGATCAAGCCCTTTTTCTGTACCTCGATGGCCAAGAACCCTCCACAGCAACAACAACTCCTCAAGACCAAAGACGTAATTTTTTTGTTTTTTTTCAAAATTTCTCTCTATTTCCTGTTTGGGTTTTCTGAGCCAGATTCTTTCACACCAACAACATGGGATTTTACGGATTTCTTTTAATTGATCTTCTCTGTGTTTTTTCTGTTGTACTTCTTTGACCACAGCAACAGACTA